AGTCACTCCTTCCTCTTTTTATACTTATTAATCTACATATATATCTGCATATCTGCCTTCGTAGCCGTGTCCTCTATGTGCTTGTCTGGTCCCCTGCGCTTGCCTGCCGCTATTCTGCTTGGACCTCCCCACCTCCCTTGCCCGACATCTTTTTGCCTGACCCGTCCTTTCTCTTCCTTTCCCCCACCCGTCTCTGACTACTTTATTTGCCCGATTATCCTCACTCACCTCTTCGTCTAACTGCTTGAATACTCTTTTCCCACACCTGCTTGGTCCTGCTTGTCCCTGCTTGCTCACGCTACATAACAACTATTTCCCCCTTAACCGTCTTTTGCCCCCAAACCTGTCGTCCTTTCCCGTCTCCCTTTTACAGCAATCCCTTTTTATTGCTTGCTTGCATATCTCTGCTTGCCCCTCCATGCAGCTGCTTGCCTTCTACGGCTCCCCCGTCCACCCCTATACAATTTGTTATCCCCTCTGCCTGTCACCACTTTTCTCACGCGCTTAACAAGATTACTCCTTGCTTGATTCTGCTTGATCCTGATCCAGTACATCGTCACCCCTACCTTAATAGTTCTTAATTGTTATCCTTTACTCACAATTTCTCCTCCTCTTCCTACCGCCCAACAAAATCAAAACTACAAGTTCTACAAGATAAACTTTCCTCTTTCCCCTCCCCACAACAAACAAAAACACACACACACACACACACCCCACACACAAACACACACATACACACACACACACACACACAAACACACATACACACACACATATACACAAGCACACACACACACACACACACACACACACACACACACACACACACACACACACACACACACACACACACACACACACACACACACACACACGCACACACACATGCACAAGCGGTTGAGGGAAAACACTTCCACCATGTAGAGCGAGACGCATTACGGTCAAGTGTGTGGCCGTGGGACTTGTACACACACAGTCTGGCCAGGTGTGCGCTAGTCATGACAAACGCACAAGAACTAGTTCATGCCAGCAAGACCAGTCGATAGTTAAAGTCGTTTCTTTGCATGAATATCCATACACCATGTGGGTTGGCCCAGGAGTACAACGGCCCTCAGAGGGATAGAGTCACATGTCACAGCTGAGTTAGACATGAATGATGTATTATGATAAAGTTTTATAAGGCAATTAGTGTACATGAAGTAGATACATGTAGCCTTTCTAGAGGTCTGAACATTTAACACTATATGGCAAAACTCTCTCTTAATATTACTATAGAGTGAAAATCCAAGAATTGCCTCATGTTTAACGCTGTGTGTGATATGTTACGAGAATGAGAAGTGGTTGTGCCTGACCAGGTGAGTTGATGGTCAGTTGAGTAATGCAATCATTGCATGCTGTGAACAAGCCAGGTGACGAGGTTCTTGATCTCATAAATATGTGTCTCTTCTTGTATGTTTCGTGGTGTTATGGTGAAATCGAAAACAAATAATATTTATTCGTGGGTGCAGTATGTATGTGTGTACGGTAGTTACTTGAAGAAATTGAAGATTTGAAAAATAAAGCTATATTAATCCGTTTGTACCCAACGTCTCCAAGTATTATCTAGTCTGTATGAAAGCTAAACAGCTGGTCGACCTGAGGATAACCTAAGTACTCAACTTTTTTGATCAAAGGTGAAAGTTAAAGTCAATAAATATCTCACCATAATCAACGTATTATTGGGAAACATCTTTATCTACAGATCAACGTCCTTACAACATCCCTACTCAAATTATCACCCAAGACCTAGATCAACGGTAGTTTTTACACTCTCTATGTCACCATTATGACTTTATACATATGATTTTTTTTTAGGGTTTTCTTGTTTATGATTATCCTATTTGATACTACACCAACCTCTCTTTTACTACAGCATTAACCTTACTCTAATGACTAACTATAATTTTCCTCCAGGGACTACCAACTCACTATAGAGATCACCCTTATATAATTATACAATCAGGAGCATTTATTTTTTTTACAAGTGGAGTATTGTGAGTAGTGACCATCTTCTTAAAACGATGATAATATTCCAATAATTATCTCACTTCACTGATTAATTATCATAGCACAAAGACCATTTGACGTTAGTGACTCTTCATCCAGCGGTCACTTCACTGATGTAAAATTCTTGTTCTAGTCATAACTTGTTCCAGTGACCACCTTACTCCAGTGACCACCTTACTCCAGTGACCACCTTACTCCAGTGACCACCTTACTCCAGTGACCACCTTACTCCAGTGACCACCTTACTCCAGTGACCACTTACTCCAGTGACCACCTTACTCCAGTGACCACCTAACTCCAGTGACCACCTTACTCCAGTGACCACCTTACTCCAGTGACCACCTTACTCCAGTGACCACCTTACTCCAGTGACCACCTTACTCCAGTGACCACCTTACTCCAGTGACCACCTAACTCCAGTGACCACCTTACTCCAATGATAACCTGATATTAGTGACCTCTGAGATCATGTTAAGTTATAATTTTTGAGCAACTTTCTGTTTCTCTATTTCACTGTACGTAAGTGTGTATTTTCGTTCGATTTGGTTAGGTTAGGTTATGTATATATATGAAAGTGAATATGACCAAATATTTATATAAACTCATACCTAAGTTTCTGGGTCTAGTATTTCCAACATTCTTGCGAGGAATAATTATCGTAACTTAAGATAAAAAAAAGCACATAACGAGATGATAAATTTAAAAAAAGTAGTTAAATTAAGACTGTTTTACATTTATTTATCTCACTATTGCTTTTAAATGAATGACTCGAGTTAATGCAATGTAATTTAGAAGCAATTTTTGGACACTAGTTATAGGCTTTTATTTTAGTTAACCAATCAGCTGTGTTCATACATCACCAATTACGAGGAATATTTATCTTAGGAACATTTGATAATTGGGTCCCTGTACTAATACTGTGGTTCAGGGCATGACCTATATTAACCTATCAAAATCTCCTGGGATTGTGGCAACTTAATTCACTCTAATTACTTGATCATTAAATTACGTTTTTCTTGTGATAAATAAATAGAAAATGACTTAAAGTTTCTATGTACGAGGTAACAGGGGATAGCTGGCTGAATATTTTATACATATACATTTAGACATATTATAAACTCTTATCTACAACTAACATTTAATATTGATATAAGTGGTACAGGTGAATTAAATACTTCTGTCTCTTCTTCACCAATAAACATTTTTAATTTATACATGTTGCTGTCCATCGCACACTGACAATACAGTATACTAAACTGACAGAGATTTAAGAAGAAAAACATACAGTACACACAAGCATATTGGTGATTATACAGTTAAGGCCCAAGTTAAATGCATAATACAATGTTCAAGTCTAAATATACGTCCACTTATTTGGTTGATATCTCATGAGTTATATGACAATTACATTCAACTTTTATGATTACTTATATAATTAAAGTAGACCCAAGTAATATACAAAAGTGTAGAAGAACATAGACTCCCTGTAGTCTTGTGGTTACCTAACTTAACCTAACCTAACCTATCCTAACCTAACCTAACCTATCCTAACCTCATCACCTATAATATGTATGCTTCGTGTTTGCTGGTTTTCTTCCTGTATAATTATTTAATTGACTCGCTTTTATTTGAACCTTCATGAGTTTTATTGAAGAACACTTTACGACAAATAAGGATAACCTTTTCTTTTTTTATAACTACAACATTAATGAGAGTTAATTCGGATTATGATAAAAATTGCTGTTTCATTTAAAACGTCTCTTATCATCGTAAGATAGCCAAATTATGCCTAAAGCAGGTTGTTATCTTATATGTTGTTATATGTTATGTTATATGTTGTGTGATATGTTATGTTATATGTTGTTATTTGTGATGTTATATGTTATAAGTTATATGTTTTGTTATGTTAGGGAAGGGTAGGTTAGGTTAGGTTCTCTATGAAACTATTTATTAACATGTACTTTGATAACCTCTTTGATCGTCATGGTCTGCAAGAAGGATTAAAAAAATTATATTCACATACATTCTCGTTATTAGGCAATTGTTCCTATTTTGTATAATATTTGCGTGTGTGTGTGTGTGTGTGTGTGTGTGTGTGTGTGTGTGTGTGTGTGTGCGTGTGTGTGTTCTAGATATATGCTGTACTTACTTAAATTTGTCATAGTGACATGATACTCGAGACAACAGTGTTTATATCCAGGCAGTGTTATCAGTGACCCGGCGCTCCGGGTCACCCACCCTTCCACACCCACCCTCTATCACTCACCCTTCTTCATCCACCCTCTATCACCCACCCTCCATCATTCCCTCCTTCACCCACCCTTCCTCACCCACCCTCCTTCACTCACCCTTCTTCACTCACCCTCCTTCACTCAGCCTTCCTTTACCGTCCCTCTATCACCCACGCTCGCTTTCAAACAATTTTCTATTTTTTTTTGACATATAAGTAGAGAAAACATGAAAGGGTGATTTTCAATAAAAGTAGATCAGTAAAGAGTGAACCAGGATATGCTTGATAATTTCTCCCGCCTCCTACCTAGCTCGTGTTCCTCCCACATGCAAGTTTCCATTTTCTCTGCCGGTGTGACTTGTCATGCAGGATCTGGTGTTGCTTTCAAGTTACTATTATATTTTATCAGGAATTATTATTTGAAAGAAATAATCAAATAGAAATGAGTTATTACAAGGGATGACATTATGTTTCGGTGTTACGTCGAAAGTCTGTGGTTTATGTTGAGTTGTTTGTAGTGTCAATGACATATCATACAATAGAACACAGACTATTGTACTACAGGAGACACCCAATTATCTATACAATAGATAAGACGATGTGACCTCGCCAGGGCAGCGGACCCTCCCCGCCCACGCCCCCGCACATCTCTCTCCCTCACTCTCTTTCTCTCAGGCGACTCTGCTGTCTTTCTCGCCAGCTTAGAGCTTCAGTGAGGCTTCAGCTCTCGGTCGGTGTAGTGCGTGTGGTTAGCCAGTGTTGGATGGTGGGCGTCAACCCGGACCGTACTACTGGCAACTTGTGGCCTCGATTCCGTTTTCTGTTGGAGTTCGCTTCGTCTGTCGACCCGGAGGGTAACTGTGCTGGATTTTTGTTTACATAGTTAACGTGTAAGTCTGGCTATATGATTGGGATTAATTGTCTTGGTTTTATCACACCGGAAACCATATGATTAAAACTCCCGAAAAAGGGCGATTTTCAGGAATTTTTGTCAAAGTATTATCTGCACTTTTCATTGATGATTTTTTCTCAGTTTATTCAGTTCTTCGACTAAAATTTGTTTTGTAGTCTATGATATGAAAAATGCGACACGAACAAGAGGAGCAGAAGTAAACACGATGATACTGTTCCTGAGAGCCCTGGTGGCTAAGGTGGAGACTTCTATGCATGGTATATAGTGATCCATGCGGTGTTGGGGGCGGTGAGGGTGGATACTGTGATGACCTGCAGGACAGTACAGGCTTTCATGGGTCAGGTGCTGGTGATGATTAAGTAATGAGGATGGTGTTAGTGATGAATCAATTGCTGGTGATGATTGATAGTAATAAGTAATAATGATAATTCTATTGGTGGATCAGATGATGATTAGGTTAAGTGATGGTTGGTGAATACAGTGTTAGTGATAGATAATGACGATGGGTGCAGTAAAGATAATGATGTGAAGTAAAGAGAGGATAAAGATGGTGGTGATAGTGACTCTAGGAATGAATTACGTTGTTAATAGTAATTTAGTGATTGTGATGATGATGATGATGAGGATAAAAGCAGTGATGAGGGAGATGGTGATAATGATGGTGATAATAAGATGATTAGATGTAAAAAAATTGTTGAAGATCGATGAAATAATTGTAACCAGATGATGAAATTGAGGGTGAAGGTAGAAAAATAATGATTAGTGAGGTGGTGTAGAGGATTGTGATGCCGATGAGGGTAATTAAGGATAATGATCATGATAAGAATGTTAGAGATAGTGGTAATAATTATTAATATGATCATAATGGTTGGGAATGATGATGATAGGGATATTTATAATGTTGATGGTAATGATAAGTATGATATTAAAGATTTTGCAGTTTGATGCTGGTGGCAGATGGTGACAGACAGACAGACAGACAAACAGACAGACAGACAAACAGAAAAATAATATTAACAACAGCCTTCGGGCACTATTAACACCTCGTATAATAATATTTTCCCACCAATTACCACGTCATTCAGGCTCTTCACAAGAACACATGAAAAAGGAAATTTCTCCCACACTTTCACACACACTCCTGTTGTCATAGCAAACATCCAGAAAACAATCCTACATCAAGAATGAAACAATAGAGTAAAATATGTCGAACAGGTTGGTCCTCCACCCACCGTACATCCCAATTAGCGACAGACGTTTCGTACATTTAATAATGGTATTTTTGTAATGGCAGTAGTGGTTCCTTAGTGGTCGACCCAGCGAGGAGGAGCAGGAGTGGGGGGAGGGGAGGGGGGAACCTACTGTATACATATAATCATTTACCAGTCACTTAAGGTAACAGACATACAATTGTCATGGTAATAAGAAGAAACAAAAGGGTTCAGCAGTATAGTTGGGTGTTGAGAGGAATATGTTTTTCTTTGTAAAGCCTTACATAGTAGTGTGAATTATAGTAGAGTGGATCACAGAAGCGCGGATCAGTGGTGTAAAATTTTAGCTGCACCTCAAGAGTTGTTCACACTCATGCCGGTGTCAGTGTTGGGCGTAACTAGGTAATTGTTCGGCTAATATGCTTCTTGCTAATTCCTTACGTCATAAGCTGTCTCATCCGTATCGTCACTCCCGTTGTTACTACAGTGAACAACACTTGTGTATTATGCAGACATTGAAAAGGTTTTGGGCTCCGGAAATAAACTTTAATGCTATTCTTTTACAACTGTCATATAAATATTAATTGATGTAGGATATTAATTCTTTCTATCTCTGTCTGTTTGTCTGTCTCGCTCTTTCAGTACGTATATTTATGTTTCATTATATTTTGAGGGTTATCAGGTGTTTGGGAGAGTCAAAGGCGTGTTAGTGTGTTGTGGTTGTGTGATGAGGAACCTGGACCAAGTTTCTCCTGGTTTAGGGGGAACATTACCGACCGTCGTAGACAGATGTTGTTATGGAACTGACAGTAAATTATACAGAGGCAATACTTAACGAGGAAGTTGGATTTGTATATGGGTCACTTTCTGGGGTAATTTATGAACTGGGTCTTTAACTTACACACAAATAAGTTACATCTTAATATTACATATACATTTTCCCCTCGAAATAGCATATCATTAAGGCAATATTTTTATAAAATCGATAATTTCACAAGGAAGCAAACTTATATATATATATATATATATATATATATATATATATATATATATATATATATATATATATATATATATATATATATATATATATATATATATATATATATATATATATATATATATATATACTAATAATTCATAAATATACATATATACATCATTTGTTAACATTTATATTACTTTATAATAACTTCTTTTATTGAGTATGAAAATTACTACTGATTTTCTTGAACGTTTTTCCTTTTTTTCGTTTAACATCTCAAAACTTATCTCAATAATATACCAGATATATATGAAAGAGTTTTAGCTTTTTTCGTATTCCTGTATGACACTCTTGCATCTGTTCATCCTTAGGAGCATTACAGCATAAGAACATAAAACAATCTAATATCTCATACATTCCCAGAAGCTTATAAAGGGGTTAATCTGGTTTCATTACAAAGATCTAACCTCAGACTCTCAAGGTCTACATTATGAAGTTGAGAGAGAGAAGGAAAGATAAAAGCTGAGACAAACAGACAAAACACAGACAGACACAAGGAGATTCATACAGACAAAGAGATGATCAACGTATTGACAGTAGGAGGGATATATAAAAAGTAAGAGAAAGAGAAAGATGGTAGGTGTAGTGACAAGTGTAGCTACGCCCACTGACGCCAGACAGACGTAAGCCGGAGTTACGACCCCCCCCCCCCACCCCTCACTGAGCCACTCCTCAGATTTCTTATATCTCCTGAAAAAAAAAGGAATCTTTCTTTTATTGTGGGTCACATTTACTTAAATTTATGGTTAAATATAATGAATTTCTCTATATGTTTACAAACTAGAATATATCATTTGTCTGGCAATTTTCAAAGATATGAATATAATAACAGAATAAAAGATTAGATACTTCTTTGAATATAGAGTTACGTTATATTGCTGTAAATTATCAGTTGAACTTTTTCGTTGGGTAAAATTTTAAGGAAATGGTATTATTCCTTTTTGTCTAGTATAAGGACGAGCTAACTAACATTGCCCTTACAGGATCAAAGCTGCAGCACATGAAGAAAATATATGTTTTCCGTACATGCGGCAGATGGTTTCATATTTCCAGCGTAAGGAAAGTGTAGAGGGAGAGTGGAGTATCACTGTCAGGGTTAAGGCAAGAGGCTTAAAACACCCCGGTGAAGATTTATGACCCGAGAACCACCCATCTGACCCCTTGATTCTGTACTTCCTCCTCCTCCTCCTCCTTTTGTCTACTTCTCTCACCTCGTGTCTCTTTAACCCCTCACCCCCTGTCTTCCTCATTTCTCACGGCCTACCTTCCTCACCTAGTATCAATTATGTCTCTCACTTATGATCAGTATTATTCTTCATCTCTCACCGCCAGTCTCTGTTAACTCTCACCCCAGGTCTTAGGCCCAGCTTAACATAACACCTCCCATACGTCCCGCCAACTTGTGTTTACCTTCACCTAAAAATGGGTAGCCTATCCCTCCCTTTGTGTTGGTCTACTGGACTTCCTGTTTGGCCAGGTAGTTGACAGGTGTACTTCAATCACCCTCCCACACCTTGCTGGTCACACCTACTTTCTCTTTACTTGTTCTTTATTTCTTACTTTATTAGTTTCAATATTATATTCTTCCTTCCCTACCTATATGCTCGTAAGCTTCTCACATATGGTGGTGGGGCGTCTTCATTCACACCACGCCTGCTTTCTCTTCAGTTGCTAATACATTGATTAGATTCTTATTCACCGTGTACGCTGTCTTCTGCTCATTACATGTCCATAAGAATGGATAAGATATGCACGGACACGTGTCGTTACCCCGACACACCAACAGGAGTTCAGTGGTAGTTGTGATCAAAGATTGAACACTTCGGGAGAGTTGAGAAATATTTTTAATAACGGTCGTTGAACGCTGCATGTTGATGGGCCAAGAGGTGAGTCACACCAGTGGACGAGTACCTGTTACACAGGTATATTATTAGCCATGAACATGACTTTCCACATTATACATGTGTGTGTGTGTGTGTGTGTGTGTGTGTGTGCGCGTTTGTATGACTTTCATACAAACTTTAGTAGTTCTGCGAAAGAAATCTGGTGTTCATGTATGGTCCACCTAATTACAGGGACTTCCAAGCCGAGAAGAATGTCGTAGGTATATGTTCACTGATCACTACAACTGTCTCATCATTATTGCAAACAAGGAGACGCACGCAGATGCATTATGTCACTACGGTAAAAATTATCATATCAAAGCTAAGATACCGCGTACCTGAAGAACAAAGTAATCATAAGACAAAGATAATTATGTTAAGACAAACTAACATACGGTGGTGATAAGCCTCACCCGTTGCCGTACACCATATGTTGTCTTTGGTTGTTAAAGAATATTGCGTGTTTTGCTGACGACACGAGCGACTACTTTCACTACTGACCTTCAGCCGCCGTCCACCCCGGCACTGTCAGTATGCCAGACGGGTGCCACCGGCTTCTTGGGGTCGAGGGACGGGGATGATAGGGGTGGGGGTGTGGAAGGTGGGATGAAAGCAAGGAAGGAGAGGCAAAGGAGGGCTGGCAGGAACGGAGAAATGAGGGAATGGAAAGGAAAGGGCCGGTGAGGACATGTGTGAAGGTAACGGAAGGAAAGGGAATGCAGAGAATGAAAGAAAAGGGATAAAGGAAATACAAGGGAGGAAAAGGTTAAAAGAACAAAGGAGGATGGATGAATGGAACACA